AGAAGGGTAGTTGATCAGACTCATTGATTTTGGCTTCTACAGGGAAACGTTGCAAGAGCGGATATATATATATATACTAGTATGATTGCACGTGCAATGCACGTGGTAAATTTTTTAATTTATTATTTTATTATTAATTCATTTCATTAAGATTTATTTAATTTAAACCATGTAGCAAACATATGGATAGAGTTTAAAAATTCAAAAGGATTGAATAGTGAAATTATATTTATTTATTAAGTGTTTGATAAAAGCAGTTCTATCATTGATAAAATCAATTGCAAATGAAACCAAAGGAGGAAAACCATGATACTATAACTAAAAAGAATTAGGTTTATCTTTACAGATATGGATCAGCTTTAATTGATATTTCATGTAGAGTTCTCTCATATTGCGCTCTAATAAGTTTCTTTTTATAATAAAATTCAGATGTCGCATAGATCCACTAAAGCTGACTTATCACAGGCTAAAAGCAATGATACTATAAATGTAAGCATCACCACCCATGAAACAATTTTTTGCAAAATCTCATTTCACTTAGATCACAGAACAAATGATTTATCTAATAGCAATGAATGAACCATAACCATGTCTCAACTACAACTTAACATGCTAGCTCTCTTGGTGTTCAAACACTACTCAGTTTCATCTCTTATGTCGTAGTACAAAATCAATAACATGTCAGTGATAGTGCAGACATCTTGCTCCTATTGCTTGATGTATTGATTGTTAAAGTTGTTCGAACCCATTAATAATATTTATCGATGAGTTGATAGCAGAGATAATTAGTCTTCTTGTCCGGCCAGGAGCACCTCATTTTAAATGAAGATACATTGAGGAAAACCCTACAAGAGAAGCAACAGCTTGAATTAACTAAAATGAATGGTTCTAGTATTGATCTCTAGAGCATAGTGAAACCAACATACATGCTAGGTGTTGAAGATTCGAATTAGCCTCTGCCACAGTTTATCAGAATCTTCTGATTCTTTATAGACATAGAATGAATAAGAGGAATTTTGTCCAATGCTGCAAGATACAAGAGAATTAAGCATTAATGATATTACTAAAAATTAATAATTTCAACAAACTGGAACAAAGAAATGAAAAGATAAATAAATGAACCATTAGTAATATAATTTTTTCCCCTCTTCTCTTTCTGTCACTTGTTATGCTAAAAGAAGTTTATGACAACATAAGTTACCTGAGTCCTTAGAGACATCAGGGGTTTCATCGAGGGCAAGTCATTTCTGCACGTGATGCATATTGAAAAACTACAAGAGTAAATATTTGAAGGTCAATTAATTTTTCACTCACCAATTTTAAAATTATTTATTAAATACATTATTCGCAGAATATATGATACAGGTGCATGCTACGACTCAAAGCTTTCTCTTGAATATATTATGAAACTTTCATTTCTATATATCAAAAAGTATATATTCTAAATCATCTGTTAGTGCAAATTTAGAACTAATGGATATCAAACATCAGTTGCATCCCCTAGCAATTTTACATTTGAAGAAAATAAGAAGTGCACTCAGCTTTTCGTAGAGAATCATCCTGAGAGGAGTCCAATTACAGATACTGCATCGAGTGAGAGTCGAGGCCTGGAATATCCTTGTCAAGAGAATTTACAGCATAATGTTGTAATTAATTTCAATAAAAAATTGTTGTTTCTCAAAAAACAACCGAAGAAGTTGTTTCTTTAAAAATTCAAGACAGCAAGGAAACAATATCACATTCTGATCAAAATAAAGGAATCGAAGATCACGTGAATCATGCAGAAGATTCAACAAGAACTTCTGAACAATCTGGTGTTGCAACACTCAGTTTAAGAATCCCTGGGGAGGATGGTAATTGATACAAGTTGTCGTGCGAGCACCTTTGATCGCGGAATTATCAAAGGTGGGTTGAGAAGAGGATGACAGAAACATAAGCACAATTCAGTATATGACGAAGAAAACTACCTTCTCTAGATTATGAGTATGAAAAGATTACAATCCCTCTCTCACAATCTCACTAGAATCGAGAACAAACTCTCAATTCTCACTAAACCCTAATACAATTATTAGAATCTCTCTTAATTACCTCTGATTATTTAGAAACCCTAAAACAATCCTTTATATAGGTGTACAAACGAGGGTGGCAATCTGGTAAATAACCAAGCCCAAAACCAACAGGAATTCGTGTGAACAGAAACCCAAACAAACCAGGAAACCATCAATAAGTCGACTCATGACTGAGATGAGTCGACTCGTCCGAAACTAGACAAAACACAAAAGCCAGCGATGAGTCGACTCATGACAGTCATGAGTCGACTCAACCTGATGAGTCGACTCATGACTGTTATAAGTCGACTCGTCTTGTTCCACGCTTCCTCCTGTGTTCCCTTATACTGTTTGACACCCCCTATTCTCATGCTAGTATGAGAATCATCTATCCTCAAGCTCCCATGAGGATCACTAAGTTCCAAAGAGAAGATACACCCGTATCATGGGTCTCCTCTTTAGGAACTTAAAGTCCCGTTCAAGTTAGAACTTTTGCTGAGGAAACTCTCGAGCTCCTCCATCTTTTCTGCACCACCTGGCCTTGCTAGGAATCCGGTCTTGACATCCAATCGGAAACAACTCATTCGTCCCGCGTCTCGTCGTAGTTACCGTTCGCTCTAAGTTGCAATCCTTTGTCGATGGCTTTTCTGGAAGTCTAATGCACAGCGAGACAAACTTCTTGCTTGCATTCACTAGCCTCTTCGCTCACGTCACCGTCCCCAAGCTTGTCTCCTTTGGAAGAGATGTCGAACGAAATATGAACCTTTCACCATCCTTAGTGAAGGTGTACTTCTGAGCCCGCCTCTCGTAGATCGCATATCTATCCCATAAGTACGAATTGCCCAGTATAATCTGACAAACATCCAATGGAATGACGTCGCACGTGACCTCGTCAATATACGACTTGTGGAGCGCAAATCTGACAGTGCATTGATCAACTACACACAGTTTCTCCTCCTTCTGAATCCACCCCAATGGATAGGGCTTCGGATGCTTGACCGTCTTCAGACCCAGCTTCTGAACTAATGCCTCGGATATCAAATTCTTCTCGCTGACCGATTTAACAATGACATCAACCAAACTGGTCTTCACTTGCAACTTAAGAACAAAGAGTTGCTCTCTCGGGTCGTCGTCCTCTTTCGTGGTCTGCTTCACCGCCATAAGGTTGAAACTGCTGTTGGGCTTTGTCATCCCCAGAACTTCTTTCGGACCTTGAGCTATCATGTATGCCTTTTTCTCCTCCTCCTTCTTCAACCCTCTTGGCTTGAGATGAGGATACTTCTCCCAGCACCGATCAGCTGTGTGCCATGTCTTCTCGCAGTGACTACAAATCAGCCCTGTCTTCCCTGGATCACCCTTCTTCTTCTCCTCCTTAGATTGAGAACCACTAGACTCACCTCCTGTCTGTTTGGAATCACCCTTCGTTTCGTTGCCCTTCTTCTGTTTGCCCTCAATGACAATTGCCTTCACGCTCGCCTCTGTAATCATCTCGACCGTGAACAATTTTATTTCCTTCCGGATATAATCATTCAGACCCGCCATGTATTTCATGAAAATGGAGTATTCATCCATTGTGATGTTTAGAACCATCGCTTTCTGCTGAAACTTCGTCATATACTCTTGAACGGTCTGATTGAATCTTTGGTGCAAGCCGTACCACTTGTACCAATGCTCTTCAAGGAACCCCACAGGATAGAACTGCTTCCTCAGTAGCTCCTTGAATTTGTTCCACGACGCCGCCTTCTTTTCCTGTTTGCAGTAGGATTTCCACAACGTCAACGCGTGCCCTGAAAGCTTCAAAGTCACGAACACAATCTTCTCTTTTGATGAATAGCCATAAAGAGTAAAATACGTCTCCATCCGCTCGATCCAGTCATCAAGCCTCTCGACATCAACACTCCTATCATAAACAGGAATCTTCACCTTGAAGTCAATCTTTAGGTTCTGATAAGAATTCTTACCCCCTTGATGCAATGTAGTCTTAACGGTCTCCTCCTCCTCGTCGGAATCTGAATCTACTCTCTCCACATTGGACTCAACAATTTTCTTCGAAGAATATTCACCTTGTTTGCCACCTCCATGGATAAGACTGACGAGTTGTGTGAGAGTTGAACCTATCATCTCGATCTGCTTCTCCAATGCATCAATCCTCGTAGAATTATCTCCTTCAGCCATCTTCTTCCTCCTTAAAACCTGGACTCCTTCTAATGAAATAAGGATCTCACCGAGCTTCTTGTATTACGATCGAGGAAGGACCATACACAGGATGCCCCCTTCGCAGGATCTGATCGCTCTGATACCAACTTGATACGAGTTGCCGATACACAGGATGCCCCCTTCGCAGGATCTGATCGCTCTGATACCAACTTGATACGAGTTGCCGTGCGAGATCGCAGAATTATCAAAGGTGGGTTAAGAAGATGATGACAGAAACACAAGCATAATTCAGTATATGGCAAAGGAAATTACCTTCTCTAAATTATGAGTATGAAAAGATTACAATCCCTCTCTCACAATCTCACTAGCATCAAGAACAAACTCTCAATTCTCACTAAACCCTAATACAATGATTAGAATCTCTCTTAATTACCTCTGATTGTTTAGAAACCCTAAAACAATCCTTTATATAGGTGTACAATCAAGAGTGGTAATCTGGTAAATAACCAAGCCCAAAACCAATAGGAATTCGTGTGAACAGAAACCCAAACAAACCAGGAAACCATCGATGAGTCGACTCATGACTGAGATGAGTCGACTCGTCCGAAACTAGACAAAACATAAAAGCCAGCGATGAGTCGACTCATGACAGTCATGAGTCGACTCAACCTGATGAGTCGACTCATGACTGTTATGAGTCGACTCACGGGCTAAAAACTGGATACTTTGATTCTTCTGCTCGTCGTCTCGTTCCACACTTCCTCCTACGTTCCCTTGTATTGTTTGACACCTCTATTCTCATGTTATCATAAGAATCATCAATCCTCAAGCTCCCATGAAGATCGCTAAGTTCCGAAGAGAAGATACACCCGTATTAGTAATGGATATGGTATTGATTTTAAAACAATAGTTAGTTTCAGTTCAATCGAAATTGCAATCGAAATTGCAATCAAAATTGAATTCTTGTTGAAATGGAAATCAAACTGTAAATATCTCTAGAAGGATATGTATACCTAAATACACTCAGGTAGATCATCACTCTTACTGTGCACGTGCCGCTGCATCAATTCATGATCATTTATGCATTCAGATGGTATCTTAAAAGACAATAACTACTTGTAAGGATCAAAATAAAGTCACAAGGCAAACATGACGCTTTAAGTAACTATATCATTTGTTTAATAGTGTATTAATTCATTGAGCAGAAGTTAATAGCTTAGAGCTTAATCACCTCCATGACCCTGAGGCAAGAGGAATCTTGACTTGTAGCAAGTCAAGCGAGGATAACGAATCCGGCAGTCATAGTAGAGTGCCAGAAGCAAAACCTCTCATGGTCGAGAAGCGAGAGGACAACTAAGTACCTCGTCAGGGACTCCACCTCGGCATGTGCATTTGTTGCTCTCAGATAAAACCTGCAATATTGTTGCATCTCAATACCTACTTTCTTATAGCTCCCTCGATTTATGAAATAAAGGGGGAAATAGTAATACCACAAGAAATTGTGTTGTGGGCAGCATGCACTGGAAATTAATAACCTCTAGTACCAGTCATTTCATTGCAACTACTTCAGATCGAGCGTAGACATAGTCTCCCACTGTGAAATATCTTCACCAAATACTAATCGAGTACAATGAGACAACAATAAATAACAAATCATGTCTGGAAAAACTTAGGTTTACTCTATAAAATGGAAAACGTGCGAGTAATAAGAGCATCTACTTGTTCCAAGGATGGATCTCTTCAAGCCTAGTAGCGACAGTGACAAACGCAATGTCGAGTAGTTGCAGGTTCCTTTCAGTCTCAAAGTATCCCCTGTTGAGAAATCTGTCCATCAGACTCACACTCAAGAACAAAGTCTCAGGCTGCAGCTCCATCTCCTGCAAATGCTGCTAAAAATGACAACAAAATAAGTTATCCTCCTAGTAGTCTATTTCATGATTAAAAATGTCATGCATCAGATTTAACCTTTTCTGGCTTTTCCATGATTAATTTGGACTTATCTTTATCTTTTATCAATTTGAGTTAAGATAGGATCATAGTAATTGTTTTACAAGAATCAGCGCAGAATGATTTGCAGGGGATTAAGAATTTGAGATGAAATCTCAGACATTTGTTTGATATATCTCGCAAGCCAAATTGTCAACGGATATTGACCTTGATCCTGGTCTAAAGTCTTATAGTGCCCAAATCAGTATTTTGAAGCATAGATATCAAGCCAAATCAAAGCGGGAGTAATTAATGGTCCATAACTAAAAGAATTTTAGAATTACATATTTGTGTTAGTGTTTGAAAAAGCTGTTTGAAGTGTGTTCTAAGGCCTTGTTTCAAGCATTTTGAAAATTAATTACAGTGTAATAAAAAAAAGTAAGTCATTTGCCCTATAAACATAGGCTTAAGCACTTCATACGCCATGAAACACTTTTATTTTGAACATGACAATTGGGGGGTAAAAAAAGATTTTTTTTTTAATTAAACAAATGTTCTGATCTCTTAGGATTCTGATGGTTTTTTTCTTCAACTTAAAGTTTTCCAATAATGTAAATTAGAGTTGATCACTTTTTTATTTGGTAAATACAAGCATGATTAAGAAACTAAAGAGAAGACACAAGTTACCTCAAGGGGTTGCGTAAATTGAGAAAGAAACATTTAATCAAAACAAATAGCAAACTAATAATAAAGAGCCTACTTTCATGGGTTATCATTGAACCAAAAACATTGAACCATGCTATTAACCATAATAAAAAAAAATTAAATGTGAAATGAAAAACCTGAAACAAAATGGAACCTTTTGTGTGACTGCATGCTCAAAAAGGCAGGTTTTAATAGCAGAGTCGTACAGATTTCTATGTCATTGGTCTTCTATGATAACACTCTTCATAGTTTAAGTAGAATGCTTTTAATATTCCCAACATGTTTGGCAAAGATCAAGCTTTCAACTCTAAAGATAAAGGTAAATGTAGCTTATGACAATTAGTTAATGTCCATGAAATTTTGGTTTTACAGGACACATAATCCCACATCAAGCAAGAAACAGTATATATTCTCCAAGTTGTGCATATCATGATCAACCAAGTTTATTTCAATTTTTATGACACAATAAATCAGATGATGCATTGAAGTAAAATGCTGCAAATGGAATTTCACTTTATGTTGGTTTCCAGAAACATGCTAATTAGACTTATGGCTAGTATGTTCTCTATATCATGATCACCCAAGAAATTTCAAACAACCACAACACATGTCTGAGGAACTCATACAATTAAAAGGTTTTTATGCATTGATACACACATGAGAACCTCAACTCACATGATTTTTAGTAGTTTTTGTTGTTGTCATTGTGATAGATCATACAGGCATCTATATTCGAAAAAAAAGAGATGTGAGTCCGTAGAAAAAATTTTGAAATCCTTAAAATAACATGAAACATATGACAACTTGCATATAACAGAATGGGAAAAAACTTCAAGACTCGCTTCATTCTGAAGAACATTGCAAAGATTTTATGTCTCACTAAACTACTGATTTAAGTAAACAATGGATCTACATGAGTTTTATGTATAAATCCAGTATTTTTCACCACAGAACAGGATCAACTATTACAAATATTAGTGGGTGATATGATACTCATTGTTTGTTATATTTTTCACCACAGAACAGGATCAACTATTACAAATATTAGTGGGTGATATGATACTCATTGTTTGTTATATAGTCTATATGACAAATAGTGAGAAGGGGGCAAATATTAGTGGGTGATATGATACTCATTGTTTGTTATATAGTCTATATGACAAATAGTGAGAAGGGGGAAGATCGCAATAAAGGATGACTAAAGCAGGTGTTAAACAAATAGGTTTTTCTAATTGTTATTGCATTAGCCACATGCAATTGCTTTTATGATCTATTTTTTCTTGTGCTCCCTAGTGCTCAATTTAGAATATCCCTCTTGTTGCATGAGGCAACTCCTCCAGCAACTATTATAACCCCATCTGAAATAGGCTTATATCCAATTTAGCTACTAAAATAATTATCCCAAAGTTTTTGCCCTTTTCAAAAAAAATTACATTCAGTGACCACTTGCCTAAGGTTCATCAAGAGGATTCAGTCTTGGCGGAAGGAAATATTGCATAGATGTACTATGAATCTAAGTAGAATACTACAGGCCCACAATTAAACTTCTGGTCTCAGGAAATTAAGAAAAGTGATAGTAAGTCTTAATTATTTGTATTTTAATAAAGATTCAGGAGACAATACCTCTAGAATACAATGACTTGAACATGCAAAAAAATAATACAAATCTGAGCTCACAAACAAGATAGTCACCAGAATAGAAACAAAGAAATTATTAAACATGAAAAGAGCACTAATCACATGTCACAAGCAAGAAAATTGCAGAATAGAAAACAACCTCAACACAAAGTAGCAAAACAAGAACCTTCAAGCTCTCAAATTGAAGTAACCATTCGCCAGTAAATAGTAGCAAAATAAACTTCAGAAAAAAATTGCAAACCCAAAAGACTTGATTTTGCCCAAAATCATCACCTTCAGTTTTCAATTCTCTTCTTAAATCAATTCAAAGCCTTCACTCCACTAAACTATCCAACTAAATTGGAAACTAATTGAATTAACCAGAGCGCTATTGGCTAAACAACAAGTACCTTAGCAGTGGATACAATTTCCATCCCTCCATCGCCGAAGAATTGGAGAGAACCCCCAAAACTGACGCCCCCGCCGTCTCAGTTCGCCGAAAAAGGACTGAAACCCTACCGAATCCCACGTTTTCTCTTTTTTTTAACAAATAAATAATTGTTTCTACGAAAACTTCTATCTTAAATTGACAAGCACTTTTAGCTATGGCCTTTTGAACTATCCTTATCCAGATAAAACACATCTAATTATAATCCTTTCTCACAAAATTTAAATGTTCACCCACAAAAGAAATTGAAGTGTATAAAATTGAAAAGTCTCATTCCTCAACTTCGTAAAATATAAATTAACAAGCTAAAATTGATAAGTAGCATTGTTTCATTAGATTCATTCAACCGAATTCAACAGTAATGGAAGCACAAATATCAGATTTTGGGAGGAAATTGCTATCATAAAACTATCAATTTCTCAATAACTTGCAAATTCAAGCAATAATCAGCAATATCATGCTAAAAATATTCTCTTTTTACCAAATTCAATGGATGAAAACCAAAAAAATTGAGTTTTTGAAGGGAGAAATAGCTTACAGGTAGACGCAGCACTGGAAATATGAAGGATGGGACTCGTCACCGTCGTCGGCTAGGGTTTGTTCGTAATCGTAACCGATGCCCAAAATCTGAGAAGTGAGGAGATGATGGCAGAGGGGGTGCGGTGATGATGAGGATAATAATACTCATTGTTGGCAATTGATGATTTAAGAAAGTGGGACAACGTTGTCGGATCAGAAGCATAACTGAAGGTGGCTGCTAGAGCGAATTCTTAACCGATGGGGTGGAAAATGAAAGGAACGAAGGCTTTTAGAGCTCCCAATTTATTAACTCTGTGAAACTATAAGAAGATATAAATTTGTTATATTTACAATAGTTGAAGGTTATTTTGGGGAAGGAAAAGTTTTTCTAGAACTCCCTCTTTTAAAGGGTAGATGATATATGGATACTAGAGAAGCGCTGGCTAGCTCTTCTCCCCCATGAGCTGATAGGTGTATGACATGTGAGCCCCCACATCGATGTGACTAGTAGGGGGCTCACATGTCATACACCTGTCAGCCTCACGGGGAGAAAGAGCCTGGCCAGCTCTTCTCTTTTTTCTATATATATATATAATATATATATTATACTATTTATTATATATATGATATATATATATATTATATATATATATATATAATATATATATATTATGATATATATAGAGAGAGAGAGAGGAGAGAGAGAGCAGCAAGACTCTAATAAACTTAAGTTGATGTCTTACCAAGTTTCTAGCCACACATTATATTAATATAAAACACCCTTTTTATATAATACATGGATCCCTATGCAATATGAGTGCTTTTAAAACTTTAGCGTCTCGACACACTATTTGCCTATCCACTAAGTTGATAGGATTTTTCACCTATGTACATATATATATATATATATATATATATATATATATTATATATATATATATTATATATATATATATATATATAGTATATATATATAATATACGTATATATATATTATATATATATATATATATGAGAAGACTATCGTATGCTTGGGTACCAAACACAAAAATCTGTGGCGTAGTGAGCCCATCACATTCCCCCACCATTGAAATCAAGCTCCATGACTCACATAGGTTGGGAGTGGTTGGAATGACACATGAGTAGATGAGAATGGACACCTCACTACTAAGCACCAAATTTGTACTTGGTATCAAGCATACTCATCTCTCTCTCTCTCTCTCTCTCTCTCTCTCTATATATATATATATATATATATATATTATATATATATATATATATATAATATATATATATATATATATATATGTTGTTGTGTTGTGTGTGTGCAGCGCGCCCGCGACGCGGTGTCGCGCGCGTGTGTGTGTGTGCGCGCGCGCGCGCGCGCGTGTGTGCGCGCGCGTGCGTGCGTGCGTGTGTGTGTGTGTCTGTGTGTATGAGAGAGAGAGAGAGAGAAAAAAAATTTGTATGCTTAGTACCAAGCACAAGTTTTTGTGTTTGGTAGTGATGTGTCATATTCTCATCCACTCATTCCAATTCCCAACTGTTATGGTAATTTACCATCTAAAGATAAAGATATTGAAAGATTGTCTGCATAGGCTTAAAAAAGCCATGGTCCAAACCAGCTTAGTGGCCCAAAAGCCCAGCCAAGGGCAAGTCTATCAGCCAGCCGAACAGACAAGTCATCTTTCGATCAAGGGTCATCATTATCGACTCGAAGTACGGGATCAGCCGGTCTCTCATAATCAAGACGACTCCTCGAGTAGGCGTCTCGACCATATACTCGACCCGAAGCTCACTCGGCTGTCGGATCGGAAAGTCATAATGACAACTCGCGAACCGACCTGCCTCGACTAAGGGGATAAGATCCAACTAAGCTCCCTTCAGATATCGATCAACACTACAGTATGGATCAGTCCCATCAAGATCTCTGCTCTGACAGATCCCATGTATAAGCCGCTTATTCTACTCACAAGTCACTTCCCAGGGATCGCCATGATGCTCTCCTGGGCTCGAATAACTTCCCCTCCAATTACCCGCCGCTATCTGGAAGGGGAAGGATGACCAAGCAGCTGACTTATCCTTTGCCCTACCTCATCTATCAAATCCAGGATACTGAGAAGAAAATTCTCTCCCGTACTCGAGAATGACTTCTTTTCCAATCGTCAGCCAACATCTGGAAGGAGAATGATGACTCAGCAGCCTGTTTGCTCACCCCTAAACCGCCTCCTGTGCATAGTCAAAGCTAAGGATCAAACTCTCAAAGGTAATGGGCTATAAAAGGAGGGAAAGAAGGTAAAAGAGAGAGGAGGATGATTTTTCTGCTATTTCTTAAAAAAAGCTCTGAATTTATCTTTACAAAAAAGAACTGATAACTCTCGACGAGTACCCTCTAAGGACCTCAATGGCCCAGGGACTCTCCCTCAAACTCCACTAAAGCTTACCAGCTGACTTGATCATCGGAGGTACCATGGGGGGAATGAGCCCCACCCTCCCATGGGTTTCTTCTTGTTTGTGCAGAAGGATCAAGATCGGGCATAAAGTTGGAGGAGGAGTCGGCCACATCTCTCATCCTCTCCCTATTCACCCCCAGCGTGAAGACCAGAACTGCAACCCCCTCGACTGTGTGATATCAAACATCAACAGTTTGGTGTCCACCGTGGGACCCACTCTCTCCTCTGAGAAGAAATGTCCAATTCCAAACAGGGGCCTGATCTTGTTTATTCTTGAAGAACATCACTGGAATCACATCATTCAAGCTAAACAAAGCCTGCAATCGCATCATTCAAGCTAAGGAGGATTAGCCTATGACTATGAGGAGCCAACATAGGCGTAGCCCTCGAGGGCTCCAACAGTTTTCCGAGGAGTATTTTCCAAGTGGAACCCCAAAAGCCCTCCTAGAAAAGACACACCACCATGGTGTTTGTCTGGCTTAAGAATGAAACACAGGCTTCTTATCGCCACCACAGATAAAAACCCCATCGCCTGGACAGCCAAGAAGCCTGGGGTTGGATCGCAAACAAAACCCCAAGGCTTATGATCAGATTCAGTATCGCTTAAGCTCCCATCAGCAACAGCTCATACGAACAAGGAGCACCGATTAAGTCTGTAGCCGGCTCCTCGGTCCATCACCACCTCCAAAGGGGAGTCCTTTCTCACCAAAGATGAGATTGCGGGAAAAACTCGGGGAGCGACCCGATGACTACCTCTTCAGGAAATTTGGCTCTGGCCCCAGCAGCTATTCAAACCACCAAAGTCAAAGGAAGAACTGATGGTCGAAGCATGCGACTCGCATTCTCCTTACAAAAAGAAGGCTCCTCCATTTACAGGATGGTTCGGTCGTTGCTACTCCTAGAATCCCCAAGGGGAAACAATGATCTCATCAAATTCCGGGAGACATAGTGTTGACATGTGGGGTTTCATCAACAAGAAGCCCCCTATCACAAAAGTTTTCTTGGCCTCCCCCTGTTGAGCATCATCCTCCAAAAGTTCAATCAGTAGGACTCTGGCCATACAGCACAACCAACGGTGGACAAGCAAGATCTATTGAAAATCCCCGTGTCCACCATCGACTAGCAAGAACCTCAGCAAAAACCCAAAGTTCAGAAAGGTCTTTGGCTGATGAGATGGCAAATATGTCAACAACTCAACGACATCTAAAGCCAAATAGCTCACCCCCAAGAGGAAGAGTCGAAACAAGAGTTCAACACCGTTCAAACAATCAATATTGAAGAATTGTAATCCATTATGTATAAATTCCAATAATCAATAAAAGTGTCAAAAGAAAAGAAAGACATTGAAGACCTAGTCTTCTAGGCAATCGACTGCTTAGTCGGCATAAAGCTATTGGTACCTTCTCAGGGTAAAACCAAGGCACAACGACTTCTTAGTCAGCATAAAGCCCTTAGCTCTTCTTAATGGTAAGACCAATGTACAACATATGGTTCGATTCTGTCTACTCTCATCAACCATCATGGCCAAGACCTTGGCTCTTCCTAAAATAAGTCCAATGCACAACGACTCCTCAGTCGGCACAAAGCCTTTGGCTCTTCTTAAAGGTAAGACAAAGGACAACATATGGTTTGATTTTGTCTGCTCTCATCGACCATCATGATAAGACCTTGGCTCTTCCTAAAGATAAGTCTAAGGCACAACGACTCCTCAGTCGGCACAAAGCCCTTGGCTCTTCTTAAAGGTAAGACCAAGGCACAACATATGGTTTGATTCCGTCTGCTCTCATCGATAATCATGGTCAAGACCTTGGCTCTTCCTGAAGATAAGCCCAATGCACAACAACTTCTTAGTCGGCATAAAGATCTTGGTACCTTCTCAGGGTAAAACCAATGCACAATGACTTCTTAGTTAGCATAAAGCCCTTGGTACCTTCTCAGGGTAAAACCAAGGCACAACGTCTTCTTAGTCGGTATAAAGCCCTTGGTACCTTCTCAGGGTAAAACCAACGCACAACGACTTCTTAGTTAGCATAAAGCCCTTGGTACCTTCTCAGGGTAAAACCAATGCACAACGACTTCTTAGTCGGTACAAAGCCCTTGGCTCTTCTTAAAGGTAAGAACAAGGCACAACATATGGTTCGATTCCGTCTGCTCTCATCGACCATCATGGTCAAGACCTTGGCTTTTTCTGAAGATAAGCCCAACGTACAATGACTTCTTAGTTGGTATAGAGCCCTTGGTACCTTCTCAGGTGTTCGCGGGGAAAATAGTTTTCTTCTTCATTGAAATAATTGTCATCTTGGGTTACAAAAGATCCGGTCTTTTTTAGATCCGGTTACAATTAAATCAAAGAAAAAAAGAAAAAATTACAACTTTCCTTATTTGTCGAACGAATCGCGAGATCCTGTTTTGCGGTCTCTCGCTTTTGTGGGTTCTTTGCCGACGCCGGGGTTAATCCGTGGACCACCGCGCGATCTAGATCCGGTCGGATCTACACGATTATACGGGTATTATTCCACGAAGGGAATAATAGCCGGGAGGGATTAGTCCACCAAGGGAATAATCGCTCGGATCTCGGGATCTAAGACCAAGCTTAGATCCGGAGTGTGATATCGTGTAGATCTCAGATCTGTTCTTTGCCTCCTCTCGAAATCCTGCCTTTTCTGACGTAGGTGCTCGCCGAGGATCAGATCTGTACGTGCAAGTCTTCAAGTCTTCAAAGCTCTGAGTTCACTCTTCAATCCGGCAGAGTTTTGGCTCTTGAAATTCCGACCTTTGAAAATGAACACCTCTAGGCCTATTTATAGGCTCTCAAGACTGTGTCCGCGCA